TAAAGAGTATGTGTGAAGTATATTTTAAAAAATAACCACAAATATTAGTTATAATAAATAATATATGTTTTAGAAAGTTTAGTGTAGATTTGATGTAAAGCGAATGTAATAATTTAGATACAATCCTTTTCTGGAGTAAGATTTTTTTTTTTTTTTTTTTTTTTTGTCAAATACTTTTGGAGGGAAAATATTTAATGTAACGCTGCCAAGTGTCCTTTTGGTTTCGCATTTAGTAATATATGTAATTGATACAACAACAACAACAAAGCCTTATTCCCTAAATAATTTGGGGTCGGCTAACATGAATTGTCATAAGGAACTAGCTTTGATGATTTATAGTTAAGGAAAAATATAGTCATGTGGTATCTTGTGAATAATGTGCGCTCTCTCTCTCTCTCTCTCTCTCTCTCTTGCCCCAACAAACTCAAGTTTTTATGCGTTTTCTCAATTCTCTCCTACCCACCAGGGGTAATTGTTCTACCAACCTACCTTTCAAGTCATTTTATTGTGATATTGATTTGAGGCAGCAGGGTGGTGGTATTGGAGAGGAATGGGTTATTTTCGCTAGAGAAAAGAAGCTATGTGGTGGACTGGTGGGGAGGGATGAAGGGGTTAAGCGTCTCATGGATTTTCTTGGTTCTATGCCTTTTTTCATCAAACCCCAATTATTCTCTCTTTTCAATTCTCTACCCATATTAACATGGGAAATTTTCTACCAACCTGCCAGTTACCTTTCAAGTGTTAATGTTGTGGGGTCAAAGAGGAGAAAGATAAGGGTAATTGTGGGCTCGAGGCAGCAGTGGTGGCAGAGAAGAGGAAAGGGAGATTTTCACTGGAGAAAAGAAACTATGTGCTGGCAGCAGAAGTGAGGAGGGGTTTGAGGGTTTGCCAGAGAAGGGGAGGGATTTGATCTTCTTTTTTTGCTTTTCTAAATTTATTAACAGCTCAATTTAAATACCGTGTGCTATAATGTGTTAATTTGTCATACTTTATGAGGATATTCTTCCACTTGGGCTTTACCTCCAGAATGGATCAATATGTAGGTGATATATCAGATAATAGTTTTAAATTTACGTTTTTGTGGGATAATTTCTTTTTGCACTTCAGTAGTCATTTTTCTCTACAAATTATGATTTTCCTACCTTGATTGTTGGCGGCATTAGTTTGAAGCATTCCTGATTAGAAAAATTGCCTAAGCTTTGATGGTTTCAGAAAGATGATTGCTCATGGAAATTAAATGGCCTTGTATCCTGGATTAGAAAAAAGAAATTGCATGCATTACGTAGTATGAATAAAGGATCTTATGTTTTTTCTAGGTTTGTGTATTATATGTAGCCAGATCAAACTATTTTTCTTTAGTGCTCTGTTTCATATTTGCATTTGTTAAAATATATGGTGGATGACATGTCATATCCTTATTTGCTAGTTGATGTTCTGGTAGCACGACTATTCTTGGAGATAATAGATATTAAATTTGGCCCACTTATTTGTGTTAGCTGAAGCTGTTTTTCTACTATCCATGGATAACAAATTCTGTGGGTGGTGTGTAGCAATTAGATCATCCTATATATAATGGTTAAGAGCATAAAATTAATTATTTTTGTTGGCAATTTTTCTAAGTTAAGTTGGGGTTGAATTATGAATGGAACAGTTGTTAATGAAGTAAAAATGTTTTCATTGTCTTTTATGGGAGCTTTATTTGGCAGAAGTTTATGTATATCATTCTTGACTCTTTGTTGATTTCATTACTTGATTTGTCAACAGAGATGATTGATTGATTTTTTTGGGGGCAATTATTTAAATATTTTTTAATTATCTCGGTCTGTATGCCTAATTTTGAACACTTTATTACTTTTGCAGCTGGAAGTTTAAGCCTGGTTCCGACAACCGAAATCATCAATTTTACTGGCAAGCTGCTTTCTGATTCCCAGGCCAAGGTTTATAGGAGTGGTTTGAAGATGCCAGCTATGATCTTGGATGAAAAGGAGAAGATGTCAAGGTTTTTGTCGAACAATGGATTAGTTGAAGATCCCTGTGCAGTTGAGAAGGAAAGAACTTTGATCAACCCCTGGACTTTCGAAGAGAAGGAAATTTTCATGGATAAGCTAGCTACTCATGGGAAAGATTTTCGGAAGATTTCTTCTTTTCTTGATCATAAGACTACAGCTGACTGCATTGAATTCTATTACAAAAATCATAAATCAGAATGTTTTGAGAAAATCAAGAAACTAGAGGTGAAAAAGATAGGGAAGCCTATATCTGCCAACACATATCTGGTGACCTCTGGGAAGAAATGGAGTAGGGAGATGAATGCTGCTTCTCTTGATATTTTAGGTGCAGCTTCAGTTATTGCTGCTCAAGCTGACCAGGCCTTGGAAACTTCAAAGTTGCTTTTAGGAAAATCTAGCAACAAGAGATCAAGAGGATCAGATGGAATCATTGAAGAATCTAGTAGTTTGTTTGGTGCTGAAGATGAAAGAGAGACTGCGGCTGCTGATGTTTTGGCAGGCATCTGTGGTTCGTTATCATCAGAAGCAATGAGTTCCTGTATCACTAGCTCTGTTGATCCTGGTGAAGGCAACCAGGATCGAAAGCACCAAAAGGTTGGTTCTTCCATTAGACGACCTTTGACTCCGGAGGTCACACAGAACGTTGATGATGATGATACTTGTTCAGATGAGAGCTGTGGAGAGATGGACCCTGTTGACTGGACAGATGATGAAAAGACTTTGTTTGTGCAGGCATTCTTGTCTCATGGAAAGGATTTTTTGATGATTTCTCGACGTGTGAGGACAAAGTCAAGTGATCAATGTAAAGTTTTTTTCAGTAAGGCACGGAAGTGTCTTGGTCTGGACATTTTACCCTCTGGCAGTGGGGGACATCATGCAAGCAATGATACTAATGGGGGAGGAAGCGACACTGAAGATGCTGGCATTGTGGAGACTGGTTCTATTGTCTGTAGTGACAAATCAGGTTCGAGAATAGATGAAGACCTGCTGCAGGTTAATCAAGATGTGTCGAAACCTGATGCTACTGTTGAATTGAATGCGTTGGAAGAAAATTGTGGTCCAGGACAGTTGGATCATAAAGATTCTGATTTGGTACTGAAAGATTTGATTCAACAAGGTCACCTGGCAGATGTCTCAGATCCACTTGCTTGTCGTGGGATGGTCGATGTCATGGTTAAGGACTCAGCTACAGCTGTTGATACCAAAAGATCTGAATTTCATCTGATGATCCAGGATGATAAAACTAAGGTGAACACATTAATTTGTAGAAGTGCTACTGATGTTGCGCGTCACGATTCAAGTGTTGCTATGGATATGGAAGCTGCTTCTGGAATCTCTGACAGCATATCAGAAGTGCATGTATCTTCCGCGCCCGTCGAATTTGTAAATCCTAGAGATGGGTTGTTCAAATCATCGTCTGTGGGTAATGTGCATCATCTCCTGTCTGGTAGCTCTATGATGAATCAAAGTGAACTCTGTCGAGATTTAAAAGGTTTCCCATTAGACTTGTCAGTCAAGTCAGAATTGCATGATGTTCGCACTATTGGAGATGAGAGTATTGATCAATCATATCAACGTTCTTTTCTCAGAAAGTGTAGTCGTGCTGTATCTCACAACTCAGTTGCTGAGCTTCCTCTTCTTCAACAGAGTGAAGATGAACTTGGCTCCTGCTGCTCTTCAAAAACGGAGAAGTCATGTAGAAATGGTAATGTGAAATTATTTGGAAAGATTCTCAGCAAAACATCTTCTGTTGATAAACCGTGTTCTAATGTCGTTTTGCATGATGAGAAGGCCAAGCACCATTCTAATCAAGATGTAAATGGGAATTCTACAAGCTTTGCTGACGACCATAATAGTTTTTTAGGTCTGGAGAATGTTCCAATTAGGAGTTATGGTTTTTGGGATGGAACTAAGATACAGACTGGTTTTCCGACTTTGCCCGATTCAGCTTTGCTACTAGCCAAGTATCCTGGTGCATTTTCTAACTACTCAATATCCTCGCCAAAGTCAGAGCAACAGCCCTTGCCAGCAGCTGTGAATGGTAATGAATGCAATATGAATGGTGCTTGTGTTTTCTCGCCAAGGGAGTTCAGCAGCAGTAACGGCGGGAATGTTATAGATTATACGATATTAAGAAACCAAGATGGTCTGCAGCCATTTAGACTAGATATGAAGAAAAGGCCTCAGGATGTTGTGTTCCCAGAGGTGCAAAGGAATGGTTTTGAATCATTAAAGCAGCAGGGAAAGGGTGTGGTTAAATTGAATGTTGTACAGGGAGGGGATATTCTTGGAGGTTCATGCAGTGGGATTTCAGATCCTGTGGCAGCACTGAAATTGCATTATGCCAGTCAACAGTATGGTGGTGTCGGAGGTCACTCAGTAAATGGGATTGTTAGGGAGGAACCTTGGAGAAGCCAAGGAGGAGATGTAGGGAGGTAGTAGGAATGCCAGGGGTCTTTAATAGGAAGGCCCTGGTGTGGCAAATCATCTTTGTTTGCCACAAAGTTGTACATTAGGTTTTTGTATTGTTGAATTCATCTCCTTTGTTCTACTGAAAGATTTAATTTAGGTTGCCTTAGATTGCTTGTAATATTGCAGGGTTTGCATTTGTTGTATTTGATGGAAGATACAAAAAATAATCTGGAAAATTTTGGGAGGTGAGGAATCTAATAGTCAATCTTACGGCCTCCTTCCATTTGTCAACAAATCATTAGTCTAATGTTTTTGTTCATATGTAGTTCTAAATTCAATGAAAGAGATCAGAGTTCTGGTTATTATTTCTATTGTACTTGGTTTCTCTGAGGCCTTAAGTTTCTGATTTTTGAAGTTGATGCTGTTATGACAGCATTGATTTTTTTTATTATTATTTTTTTTTTTTTATTTCTGGATCTCAGTTTTAGAGGGATATTATGGATTTCAGCTATTAATTGAACCATCAATTTAATCGACTTTGATTAGAGAAATTGAAGTGGTACATCGACTAGAAACAAATAAATTAAACAAAATATTGCACTTACTAGGAAATTTAACAGGGTACAATACATTACACAGATAAAACAAAAATGTCAGCGACTTCCTCAACTACTATTCTTCCTCTAATTTGAGCATAGAAGGTAGTGGTGCAATGATTTTCAGAACCTGCAAAAATTGAAAACATGACAATTGATCTCATGGCAATGGGGATTGGAACTTGGAAGTAAAAAGTATCAACTCACTAGCACAAGTCATCAAGCTAAACATACAGTAAGATACTCGGAGGTAAATAAAGTATTTGTAAGTCATTAGGCTGAGCAAGTAGAGTTACATAAGTTGTTTCTCTGTGCCACCAATTATCTATAAATGAACATAGCACTTCTAACTTTTAAGATTCCTAGTCCAGATAGTCCGATTTCAACATCTGCCAGTTGATTCATGCATCATCTCAATAAGGTTATGTTTCCTGTTTCCAACCAGGAACTCAGAAACTTAGGGGAAACGTTTTAAACCAGCAAGATTACTCTATTATACTTTAGTCACCAAATGACCCTTTTCTTTTTTATAAAAACTCTTTGAATAGACCAAACTTTAATGCCATCTTTACTTGCATATCTTGTTGAAATAATAAATAACATGAGATTCTTAAGCAAAATTATTGATCCATTGCTTTAGTTTATAAAATATGTTCCCTCATATTTGCGCTTCTAAGTTGTCATTTCTCATTTCCATTACACAAATGCTGTTGTCAATGAGTCTATGGTCAAAGAAAATATTGTTATCACTTTCATACCAGAGCATGTAGATGAAACTCATCATCATAAAACAATACTAACTGAGCTTAGATGAGAATGAGAATAGTATGCATAAATGCTATAATCTTATAATTACCTCATTTGTAGTAGGGTGGGACAGAATCACTTCATGTGCATGCAAGTGATACCCACAGTCCCCGGGTACAGGGTTTGTAGGCCGTTGATACCCTCTGCATATAATAAAGTTCATTCAAGATAAATAAATTGACAAATTCAAAGACACTAAAAACACCTTCCATGGCCTGTAATCTGCATACAGCTACTAGGACATTGAATGAGTAAGCATATGTGAGTCTGATAACATACTTTTCTAATCCAAGATATAAAGCCGTTAGCATTTCCACACATGACAAGAATTCAGTTAAACCTAGTTAATATCATATTGGTATTATAAATTGCCTCACCTTCTATTGTTAATTACAAAATAACCTATAATGTAAAGTCTTCCTTGAGGTAAGGGTTTCCTACACTCACCTTAAACAATTTTACTTTTTTTTTTTGTAAAAATAGAAGGTGATAGTATAAAGTGAAACATAGGAAAATCTGCACGAAAACACCCTGAAGTGAAGCTTCATTTCTTAATCACACTACTAACTAAAAATCAATAATCAAAAACACCCTTTACGGGAATTTTATTTATTTATTTTTTTCCAGCATCACCCATTAACATTACCCAAAGTTAACTAATGGTGATTAAACAAAACTCCCCTTGTTTTCCCATTTTTGCACATCAATCTTATTTGTTTTCTTGGAGAAATAGAATTTGGGGAGGCCTTCTGCAATTTATATTGTAGTAAACATCTTATCAATTAAATCAACTTTGATGAATTTATATTGAACGTTAACATTATATATGTAATGGGCAGTGATCAGAAAAAAAATGTTCACTTAAAAGGTGTTTAATACAACTTTTAGTAAGGAGTTCTGGGAATATGACTTTAAATTTGGATGTGAAGGAGTATAACAAAAGCTGCCTTAGAAGTTGGAAGCATCATGAAAGAGAGGCCACACACAGAGAGAAATATATGATAGTTGCAGCATCAACAATTACCCACAAAGGCTTTAATGAAATGATATCAACACAAGTTTCATTATATCTTTACTTCTCAAGGACAGGCTATAACCATGTAAACTGTAATACTGACTATTGCCAACTTGTTAGCCATGTAGTCTCCATCTCCTAGAGGTCAACAAGATTATTAGCAAAGAGAATAATACTCTCTCTCTCTCTCTCTAGTTGCTGGTATGACACTTCATATATAATAATCATATTGAAAGCCACAAGGCCCTGCTCTATAAGAGAAGACACAAGCAACATGATCCTCATACTTGCACATAATATCTTTAGCCAACCACCCTCATCACGCTTTGTGGACCAGCAAAACAAAAACACTTTCCATTATATTAGTGGAGCAACAGTACATAGAGTTTCTAACAAAAGTAATTTTCCAGCATTGGAAATGCTTTAGGGAACCATAGAACAAGGCGTCTAGACAACCAACAGCGTTGGATAAATTCAATTTTTCAGATATAAAGGTAAGTCACAGGTGCTTGTAGAAATTAGTGGTGAGCATAATACCTGCACCAGTGTCTGGTCTTTTTCAAGATCTCTTTCAAGAACCCTGACTTTGCTTAGGGCTGGTTTACCTAGTTAAAAAGAGAGGGGGAAAAAATCAAGATCATGCATCCATAAATTTCCTCTAGCAAACTCTACATGGAACTATTATTCTCTTTCACAGTTTCACCTCCTCTCCTCTGGCACACAAAGTACTAATTACAGAATAAGAATATTGTCTTAAAGCTGTTCGTTAGATTGATTATTCTGGAACATTTATTGTTGGAATAAAAAATTACTACTCCTATCCCATTCTATTTTAATGTAACAAAATTAATTTGCAGATGGTCTTTTTGAAAGGCATAAAGCCCGAGATCAGGGAGGGAAGACCGGCCACCTTTAAGGCAAAAGGCTTCGGAACAATCCCGAGTGAATTCGGCCTTCTTGCATTTTCTCGGGAACCAACTCTGAAGTAAGAAAGAGGAAAGACAGGGTGAATGAATTGCATTAGTGCGATTTGGCTAGCTATTCAGAAGTTATTTATAAGACCAAAATGAATTAATTTCCTAATTGCCATTTTTCATTCAAAGAAATGCCCCATAATTTTAAAGTCACATTTTTCAAAACAGGAAACTTTACTTTCAGTTATTACTTTTTATCATATTCTCGTATAATTTGAGAAATCGAAGAAGAAATAAAAAGCCCCATATCACTTGAAATGGAATGAGGGAGTATCATACTTAGAACATGCTCTTTTAAATTGGGCATATGTTCTTTGTGTTTGCAGTTAACTGAGCATGTCAGAGTATTGAAAAGCATGTGTGCAGCGAGAGCACGATGAGCACCATATTTGTGTATGTAGTATCTTTATTGTGTGGTTCAGATTGATCATCATAGTTCCATTATTGCTCTATGCGCTTAGTTCTCTCTATCTCTCTCATATCATATATCATATGGATCCTCTTTTTTATTTCTCTCTATCTCTCTCACCTCCAAAATTGTCTAGGAGTCCGTGATTTTAAAAGTGATGCGTCTAAAAAAAGCAGAGGAATTAATAAAAGACATGAATTAATATCATAAAAAAAAAAAAGGCAAGAAAGTGTTTGATTAATAACACTATAAAAATGATTCCTAGCAATTGCATACTCTAAAGTGTTAAATATATACTTCCTTTGTTCTTTTTTATTCTTTTTTACTTTGACCTGTTTCTTTTTTCAGGCTTGCCAATGCAAAATTTTAACGATCAATAACTTTAATTCTCCGTAAGTAAAAATTTTAAAAGTTAATGTATTATGTTAGAACTTATTGAGACGAATTCAAAAAGATCCCACACGAATATTTTTTTCCTTACATATTATTTACAAAAGACGGTCAAAGGAAGGGTGGTGAATAGTGTAAAAGTCAAAGCGGGTCAAGCAAAAAAGAACGGAGGAAATATATATTTTTTATATGCATTACATTGCATCAAGAAACTAATTTTTTTAATTTGTTCTTGAAATAAAAATTTAAAAAATAAAATAAAATCAAACTGTAGTTAATTGTCAAACAATGTAGTGACCTTTATTGTATATTTCTATTCCAACACCTACTTTGCCAAGCTAATATTCATTTAACAGGTTCTAGTAAATAGCCACCGTCTGTTTCAACAGCTATCAGATACTCAAAAGCTACAAGCTAATCGATATCACTAATTTTTCCAAACATGCCCTGGCATGAAAAAAAAAAAGTATAGTAACATATGAAGGTAGTGAATCATACTTAGAGATCTCTAACTTATTAGAGATGTGCTTCAAGGTTAAGCTTTAAAGTTGCAAATTTAGTTATTGTATGATGCAAAGTATTAGCTATACATGCCAAAAATAAAAAATTATCATGGTGGCCTTACACCATTGTGCTGTAATGCCTTTAAGAGTACTAAAATGATATAAAAGAAAAAATTGAATTTAGATAGAGAATAACCTAAGGGCAGAGCAACATATAGACCCTTAGCAACCCCAGGATATCGTATGATTCCAATTGGCTGGTTGATCAGAATCTGTCAATTCAATTATTCCAAGGGTCGATGGTCACCAGCTTATGGTTCACCCCAAGGGTAAAAAAGTTGTATAAAAATCCAAATAGAAAGTTTTTTTTCTGGAATACCTCATTCGTGTCTATAATCCCCTTGACTAGTGCCCGATATGTTTTGGTTATCCTTCGTTCCACTTCATTCTCTGAGACTATCTCTCTGCAATGTATCAAATGTAATCTTGAACAGTTAATAATGGTAGTTTCTGATCTAAAACCATAATTTAAAAGATTAAAAAAACAGCTATCAAAAGAATAAAATCTATAACAATACTATAATTAACAATAATACGTAGTATAACAAAAGTAACTTCCCAAAGTCACTTGATATTGTCCAGAAGTACCACAAGGAATCGGACAGCAACTGGGCTTTTGTCTACTAAAACTTCCCAAAGTCACTTTCTCTTCAAGCTCATACATCGAGCTACAGAAACTGCTCTAAACATTTCACTTCAGACATACATATCCTTTTATTGTTAAATGAACATCTAGCTATATGCTTAAGCCCCAAGATATGTCAGGCTTTCATGTATCTCAAACCAATGGATCCTCAGTCATCAATCACACAAGAGCCATAATATCCATCTTCAACATTACAGAATATAGTAATATACACCAGCTGATCTAAAGAACTCCTCTTGTAACCAACTGATCCCCAATCATCAATCAAGCAAGAGCTGTAAGCCAACAGATCATTGATGTAGTGAGGTCTTTTCTTTTTTTTTTTTGACAAAAAAGGTCTTTAGAAGATCCCAGACACATCTTTGCAATAAGCTTCTAATCAGGCCAGAAAAAGTAATAAGCCTTCTCTGAAAGCTATTCAAGCACTGGCATGTCAGGCATAACATAGTAAATTTAGCATAAACAACAAATTAACTGTTATGAGAACATGCTCCATATCTAGGAATTGTTTTCACAAAGCTGTACGTTCAACAACTACCAATAGCACACAGAAGTATGAAATTTGATCCTCCACAAGTCCACAGAACCAAACCAGAGCTGCAGAGATGTATAAAACTTAGTAACTTAAACCTTATCAAGATCTCATGTACTCTTACAGAGTGATCTAAGTTAATAGCCATTTCTAGGTCACTTCATCAAAACTACTGAGTTGTTGAAGGCTTTGAAGCCATAGACAATCCCAAAGTGGACATTTTGACCGGGATGGAGGAACAAATTAGTTTGACAAGCTTAAAGAAATTATGGACAAATCGTATCAAAGCAGTCATTTTTACTAGCCTTTTTCCTCTCACCAATGATGTCCCGTCAGCAAAATATGCAGCAAGGCGAGCCTTAGCACTCTTCGTCTTTGCACAAAGCAATACACCTGTCATAGAACCAATCACCACATGAAAAATAAGTGTCAACAAATTCCAAACAGTGATTTTAACTCACCAAAAAGAGAATCTCCGAGTACACCAAGTACAAAAGTAAGCACAATGCAGAGACATATACAGAAATCATTCTGAATAAGATAAACATAGCAGTAAAATCGTTTAGTACAGGAATGTAAAAATATATTATTAGTCAAAATATATTATTAGCACTCTTCTTTGATGAAAATTTTAAGTTTATAAAGGTTCTCGCTCCGGAAGGAAAGTTCAAGAACTTTTAGCCTGTCCATACATTATTTACAAAAAGATATAGATCACAACATATTTATCACTTTAAGCAACTTGACTTTTACCGAATAGAATAAGTAGGATCAACTTATCTCACTTTTTTTTATTAACATAAATTTACCACAAATGCAATTTAAAATAATTACTTCCAGCATCTGTCTTCACTCAATGCTTTCTGTGAATCTTAAGACATTACCCGATATTTCTAACACGTCCTATTAGCAAGATGATAAGAACAAGTGTTCAACAAATTCATGCATTAAGATCATGGATAAAGAATATTCCACTAAAAATCATGTTCACTAAGACTTAGTATTGAAGTTCTCCATTCAGCAAGAAGGCTAACCTGATGTGCCCCTGCCTAGACGGTGAACGGGAACAGGATGAAGTTGACCTGGAGTTGAATTGCCATTCTTGTTTGCATGCCACTTTAGCTGCGTCAAAACAGTACGCTGCTGGAAGAGTCCTCCAGGTAGAACTTGCAATCCAGACGGCTTATTTATAGCAATCTGTCATGTAGCACCAAATATAAGCCAGCATAAATATTTACTAAGGTCGACTGGAAAGCTCAGACAATGGATGCGCAGAACTTTAGGAATAAATGGCTATTATGAATCCAAGGTTTTATCATCGTCAACTCTCATGCAATTGACAAAGGATCTAATTACAAAAGGTTGTCCAGGTTTGATCTGAATTAATCAAGTAAATTTAACCCTTCTGCATGCCCTTCCATTTTAGATTGACATATCATTAAGACATTAACTTCCCCAAATTCGCACTCAATTCCAACTTCCAAAGATTTTTATACAGCTAACCTTGAGAAAAAACCTCAGCACTATTCAAAAGTATTATCATCCTATTAAACAATTTAACAAATAATATTTTTCACAAATTTTATCGTACACCTCAGAGCACCATGCATAAGGCACTTCATTTTTTTTTTGAAAGACTTAAGGAACTCCAATTAAATATGCTCAATTTCAAAATGAATTAAATTGTGAGTGACCTAAATTTGTCCATGTATATACTCCTAATGAGTACTTTATACATCCATAATTGACAAAGATAAAGTTATTACAAATAAAGGGCATATTCATTTTCCCAAGAGCACCATTTAGTGATAAAAAATGTACTACCTCCATTTCGAATTATTTGCAACGATTAAACATTTTCCACTCACACTTATGTCAAATCGTGGCAAATAATTTGAAACGGAGGTGGCATATTCTTCACAAAAGAACCATACTTATTGCACAAATATCAATAAGCTACAAAAATTACAAGAAATACATGAAAAAACCAAATGCAATTAGCATTAGGATGATTTACCATGTCACCATCTTCATAGAGCACTTCGAACAAGAAAGGTGTCTTGGGTTCACTCCATGGAAGCCGATGATAAACCAACTTCGAACCAACTCTACAACATTTAACACTTAGTAAATGACTAAATGGTAATTAAAATACTTGAATTAAAAAATATCTCTATACAAAAGGAAAAAAAAATAATACTTCCATGAGTTCCATCATTTGATGACAAACTTAACAATTGTTGATATGGCATTTCCCAAACCAAGCCTCAAATTTCCTTTATGATTTTAAGTGGATAATTCATATACTCCCTCCGTTCATAATAATACTACATTTGCTTGTGTCGTTGTGTGTGATCAAAGTTTATAGACTTTCACCAAATTTTTTTTACATGCAAGTATAATAAAACATTAACAATAATGGGATATTGTTAAATCCATATCAGTGCTTAATTTTAAAGCATCAATTTTTTTTTATAATTTTTAAGAATGCATAATCATATATATATATATATATATATATATATATATATATATATATATATATATATATATATATATATATATATATATATATATATTAACATCTATTCTAAACTACAATTCTTATGACCAAACCGAGGGCTATAATCAAATTGTTGATGTCTAGTACTTGTATTTTAGTTGGTTAAAGTCTTGGAGTAGAACCCAAGACGGGGTTGAGTCCGGTCTACATCATCGCCCTTTGTAACTCTCTATACACATCAAAAAAAAGAAAAAAAAAAAAAAAACACAAAGGCCTCAAAATAATACTGACCTAAGAACAGAGTCTGGATCAGTCACAGTAACCCCATCAATCGTAATCTGTCCATTATGAATTCTCTGTAACCAACTGATTAAACCAGGAAACACATGAAACAATCAGAAATCAAACAAAACAATGAAAATTCAAATGAAATAAATTAAATCCTTTAATTATCAAATAAAATAAAACAAACCCATTACGTATCCTTCAATTATAAATGCTTTAATTTCAACAAAATAATTAAAAAAAAAAAATTATATAGAAATACCCCTGCAATGGAGCTGAGCTAGAGTAATTGGAGGAGTAGAAATTGATGAGAGTGAAACCTAGAGAGAGAAAAAGAGGAGAGAGAAAGTGTTAGTATGAAATTGAAGAGGGTGTTGACTGTTGAGTTGTGTAGTTACAAATCAAGGGATGAAGGTGGAAGAGAGAGAAAACCTGAAGAAGAAGGGGAAACGACGTCGTTGTAAGTGAGACCGTCGTTGAATTCAGGCCATGGTATTCCGATTGTCGTCATCATTGCTGCTCTGTTTTGGTATCACTAAACTTGGATTATATAAATTCCGATGATTTTTAGTAAGGAAATCACTCTTCCCTCGTTCTTCTATTATTTATATAAATAGATTTGTTTCATGTGTTCTCAAAAGAAAAATTAGTAGTTTCATAGTAAAAATTAAGTTGGAAATTACGAGTTATTGGAAGTATTTCTTACTCGAGACAATTGTGAATCGTTAATTTTATTGGTTTAGCCGATGTCTTAAATTACTCCGTATTGAGTAACGGTTGAATTAAAAGTATAAATAAGTGTAAATCTAGTAAATTCGAGAGTTTACATTGGTTGCACATTCAAATCTTGATACACATATAAGTTCCACACCTTACTAGTTCTAATTCTTCATTTTTCTTAAAGGAGAAGCCGTTTAGAAAAAAGTTTTTTTTATTTAATTATTAGTGCATTGCACATGTCAAAAGGATAGTACAAATTTATATTTACAAAGATAGTTTGGTTGTCATCAAATGCTTCTAGGATAATTAAGATGTACAATTGTCCACGAAAGGCTGAAATCTCTAACTTTTAATGGTCATGGATAATATAAAGATCATTTGTGATTAAAGTGATCTATCTATAGGGAAACAACTCAAACAAGCTAGATTAGTGTTACATTTCTAAATTAAGTCATAGCATAATTGGCTACATTTCACCCGAAAAAAAAAATGATTCAATAATTGATATTGATATGAATAGTGACAGCGACCATTTCAGCATCGCATCAACGATGGTTTTCATTCCTGTCTTATTTTCAGCTTGATACATACAAGATGCAACAATGTAAATTCAATTGTTTGTAAGTTGCCAGATTAATTAACGAATATGGCATCACGGTCGTTTCAAGGCATAATTCAACACATCAGAGCAAAGGTATAGTATAGAAGAGGAAGCACGAATCCATTTTATTTTCAAGTACTCAACTTCATCCAGACAATCAAACTCAATTGTTTCACACATAAAAGAAAAAAGTGACGTACATTAGCGCCATTAGGAGTCTTTGCCAGGAGATCGTACAGGCAAGTAAAAATAATGATACAAGTTAAGGCACAAATACGGCACTATCTCAAGAACACAGATAGGGATACAATTTCTGGATTTGCCAGAGACTAATCTTAGAAGGCGCAAACACCAGCTGATGGCGAAGGCTCACTGGCATGAATAGAAAGAGGGTCCCACTTCACCATATCACCGCAGTGCCCGCTACTGCTGACTGTCACCACCGGCGTCATTTTTGGTCCACCGACAGGAACTTCAGTTATGGCAGATTCTTTTGCAGCTTTGGCCTTCAAACGGTACCGCTCAGCCCTAGACCCAATAACCTGACCCAGTATTGAGGCTCCTATAGTAAATGCCATAGCTGTCTTAGGCATCAGGACACATTTCCTCAACATTCCTAAGAAGGGAACTGCTGCATGAACAGCTGCAAACCAAGCGGGCGAAAACTTCTTGGTGTGTTCTCTCCATATACCCAAGGGGACATTTGCTGCCATACCCAGGAGTCCAATTGCGAGCATTTTTGTGGGCAATGGTTGAGGTCGAAGGTTCTTTGCCAAGGCAGTTCGAGCAAGAGCTGCTCGAGCCGCAACAATGGCTGGTGGGCACTCAAATTTCACACCAGGAGGAGGTTTAAAGACCTTTGCTACCAATGGCACAACACCGCTTACAGCCCTATACGACTTGGCTATAGGACAATTTCCTGACTGCAGCCACTCATTACTCAATGCCTCGTGTTTTCCATTTCCCTATAATAAAAATGTAAGTTCAGCAGAGTGATATTTGAACAAGACTATAATTTCAAAACATCATTTAATGAATAAAACAGTTTGGTATTCGTGATGCGTACTACGAGTGATTCGAAATTCATACATCAAGATCCCTCACTAGGTGCAAACATTTAAAGCTTATCAATTGTAGGATATACTATCAGCAGATACTGTGGTAAGCGCAAATCAAATTGTTGGGTTAAATAACCGTGGACAGGATGTAGGAAAAAACTTTGCCAATGGGGACAGAATGGTCGTTCCCACATGATGTGCAAATAACTACTCCGCACAATGTATGGTATCACAACAAACAATTAGATTATAAGCAACCCACCCCACCCCACCCTCCAAAACACAAAAACAGGACAGATTGACAGAAAATGGACCTAAATCAAGCAAGGTTCCATAGAGAAGAATCAACCCTTCAAATCCCCGATCACAATAACATTCCCTAAACCAAATGAGAGACGTAGAAGTAATATAGCAATGATGGGAAAATACCTTTGATGCTTTGGACTTTTTCTTTTGATTTTTCCACTTCTGAGAGAATGCATCAAAGCTAAAGGGCCATCCAGCTCCAAAACCTGAAAGACTGATGGTGGCAGCCTTTGCAGCTAGAGGATTAAACTTAGGTGGAGACGAATCAGTCTCTAAATTATCAGTTCGCAAATGTGACCTCCCAGAAAGCGGTACAACTCCATTACGGCCATGGAATAGACTGAATGCCATGTCAAAATTGGGACCATCTTCAAAAATTGGACCTTTAGATCCACCTCCACGCACCTAAGCAAAGGCAGAGAGTTAAGCATGTCAGAAAAAACTCAACTGTCACAGAAGCTTATAGAGGAAGAACATGTCTTTTATACTCTATAGTGTGATTTTTAATCCTACACACAAACTAGAACTGGATCCAACAAAGTGTATCCAACATTTATATAATTAAGGGCATGCTTGGATTGGGGGAGATGTATTACTAGGGTAATAAAAGTCAAACTAAGCAAAATGAAAGTGAAAATAGGGAAGGAGGAGATAGTGATGGTGTGATTGTAAGGAAAATTATGTAGTGATGGTGTGGTATGAGGTGAAGAAAGAGGAACTAATACCCTCATTTTGGGGGTAATAGTTACACTAGGGGGAGGGTGGGTAACTATTACCCTCATTATGAGGGTAATAATTCCTCCATCTCTCTCTTTTCCTCATGGCACAATTACTTTATTTCATTTGTAAACACCATGCCTCCTACAGCAACACCTCTAATTACTTATGTTTTTTCAAGTTTGACTTTTATTAACCCCTTAATATATTACCCCCAATCCAAGCAAGGCCTAAAGATTAAAGATATTATGTGGTCAAAGGTGTGCCTTAGCAAGCGTGTCCAGTCAAAATGACACATCCATTAAAAAAATAAAGAGGAAGTAATAAATAACTCTGTAGCTTGTTGACGAACATGTGACTTACAGGAAGAGATAAGGCCAGAGAAGATGAAAAGGAAAAATGTGTTGGTGCATCAATATTCCTCAAAAATGGGCATCGAAGGATATCCTGGTCCGAGGGAAGTGACTCCCCAGCTAATTCTCTGAAGCAAAAGTCCATATCTTCAACGCAATAATTCAACTGGTGAAAGAGGAAACGAAAATTGAGGAATTACAAATCTCACTATACATTAATATGTAACAATAATACAAAAGTTTTAATCAGCAGTTAACTCATTCCTAGGCACATCACTAATCAAGTAATCAGGTAATTTCAGCATTAAAAGAAATAAAAGATATATCCACTAACACACAGCAGTATCATGTAATTAAGTATTGCAAACACAAAGAAAACAAGCTTAGGACTACATATCCTCAATTCAACGTGTAAATTCCAGACCTTTTCTAGCACCAACTCAGAAAAGAAATTAAATAGCTCCATCCATCTCACGATTCTCAACAGCCAAAGGCATACAAGATTAACATTTTAATCAAACAACACAATTGATAACAAACACAAAAGGTAGCATTGACATGCCACAATTCTAAAAATGCAAGTAAACCCAAAGGCAAACACAAAGGTAGCACAAAAGGTTAAAATGCAACTAAAATGAGAATTTGCTTAGTAAACAATACTAAACAAAAGCATCCAAGTAATAAACGAATCCACCATTTGCTAAATGCATTACAAATGGAATTTAACACTTGGGCAATTCTATCAACAGAATCAAAGAGTAAACAATTCAGTAACTCCTTTTAACAGGACGAAAGAGTCAATTGACAAGGAAGCTGAGCGCATAATTCAAAAGACACTATCAATAAGTAGCTGAAAATGAAGCATATGGAACTTTAGGTACCTAAAAGATCAGATGTCTAAGCTCTCTCAGCTATGAGAATATAAATGGCTATCGAAAAACATATAAACTTCATGCAATGTAAATTTGCTATTACAGAATGTAACATGCTCCAAAATAAATTTTTGATATGCTAAGCAACATGCTCCAAAATCAACAAATTTTCCAATATCAAATGGTAAAACTCCAAATTCTAATTCTCCCTTGCATAAAAAGATTGAAAATTTTCCAAATAAAATGATCAATCACTATTGATTAAAAAAAAAAAAGTTTCAAAATAAACTCTCAAATAAAATTCAACATAATCATCATATAACCCATATTACCTTTAAATACCATAATATAATAAATTCCGAAATCAAATCAATTGAGGGTCAGAAAATCCTCAAACACGAAAACAAAAAAATGACACAATTTATATGTCACATCAATCAATAAAAATTCAAACCAAACCCAGAAGACCAGATCACAAAACATGCATGCAAATCAAAATTCTGATTTCTTTTGACTTTTTTTTTTGGGATAATATAACAATCAAATACAAACCCAATACCCAAATAAATAAATAAAAATAAATTGACTACCCAATTACTTATTGCATGTAAAATTGAACAAAAACCCAGAAAAATCAACAGAAATTGAAAGAACAACAAACCCACTGATCTATGACAAAAAGCAGAAATTAGGGGATAACCTGAAATCGAATCAATGGGAATGAAAATAAAAATTCCTTCTAGGGTTAATGAAATTAGGGAAGACAAAAGAATAAGAATAAAGGAGAAGAATCAATGGATGGGATTGGGAAGATAAGAGGAGTAAGTATAAATTCTGGGTTAGGTGGGAATGAAGAAATTGAGGAGAGAGAAAGTAGGAAGAAGAAGAGAAGTGCCGTGCTTCCCACACGCCAACTACGATTTTGATAAAATGACAACTTAAAGTCAATTTTATTGCTGAGTCTTCTGTTATTAACTAAAAAAAACGTGTGCTTGTTTAGTTGTATTTTCTATATCCTCTATTTCTCTGTAATAATCTGTATGCATGCAATATGTGCGTTAATTTTATTTATTACTTCGTATATCGTTAAAGGTTTATGGATAATCTTGTGGCAGATTGATCATATTATTGTAGACATTCGACTTCTTAACAATTTTGTCAATAAAAGTATTCGATACATGTCTAATTGTCGTGGATTGCTAAACATCGCCCGCAAATCTCCACATAAAACCCACAAACTTATAT